ACTAATTAATTGTGCATTTTCAAACTCTTATCACTTTGTGAGATTTACCAAAATACCTCTTTATCAATAAATGACGAAAATGCCTCTCACATATTCTCTTCTTTAGTTTGCCTTTTATGTGTATGACCCAAAGGCTCCTCATCATGCTAGTAGTATGTAATATCGTAGTCGACACCCCATCGATCGCTCATTACACACAAACCAAGATTGGCCTCGAGTAAGGCATTAGGGCCACCCGACATATTCGGATCTAGCATAATTCGCTACTTGTCAACATTATGCAATCAAATCCTTTCATCATCTCCTATCTAATCAAGGTTTAAAGCATAAAAGTAATGTCAACTTCAAATATAAACCACCTTGACCTGTTCAGATTCGGATATCAAACCAATCGACTAATCGAGCTTCAACTCGATTCCATTGTGGCCAAAATTCCAAGGTCGTTGTCCTTCACCGTAATCTCATCAAGATAATATCTCTTGTATACATGAGTGATGAATCCTTTATTGATCCACCATAGTCGTGATATAGTTCTCGATGTAGTCAATCACTCCCATACAGATAACCCTCTCAGGATTACGTTTGGTAAGTGTCAAAATGTACCAATAGGTAGACACGGCGCTCTGGTGATCTCAAGTCTAAGGACCACATGCACCACTATCTGTTAGAGGATGTATTCCATGGACACTGGTGTTATCATTTATATGGAATCCTCTGATGGGCTAGTCTGATGAACTCGTGAATCACAAGCACCCATGTGCCACACCAAGTTGTCACCAAACAACCTTGAAATGTGAAAACAGTCACTACCTTCCGGTGGGGTCGTTAAACACTATGATAGTCTTACTATATTATCTATGCCCTATGTTAGGATAATGCTCCGACTACAGATGTTTTTAGAATGGCCACCATATGTGATCATAGGGATCTCACAATCGAGACTTATCACTGCTTGATTCCCTCATCACGGTTCAACCACTCTAAGGGCATATATTAATACATACATATGAACTATGCTTTACATAATATAATTGATGCCTTTTATATATTGAATATTCATGATCCATAGAGTCAACATACAACAATATGATTGGCTTAGGGGTACCTACTCTAACACTAACATAAGAATCAAAGATATACAATAAAGACATCTTAATATGTTTTAATTATTATTGTTGAGGAAATAAAAATTTGATCTAGTTACCTGTTAGATCCGCCCATAACCAATTATGAGAACACATCAATGCCTCTAATGTATGAGAATTAAATCTGTTGCGATGTGGGCTTACTACATTCCTACTAGTGCTAAATGCAGACTTTGAAGCAACTATGGAGACAGGAATAGCAAGCATATCTCGAGCAATATTCTGTAAGGTTAGATATTTTGGCCCATTTGCCTTTCACCAAGCTAGTATGTAAAAGTTATGAGTCCTAGGCAATAGTTTTTCTCAAGGTAACTTTCTGGTTCTGACTTTCCTTAACAACACTAGATGCTTGGTCTATAAACTGTTAGAGTAGATGCCCTAGAGCCAATCAATTATTGTAGAATTGACTCTTTGTAATAATGTTTATTAATCAATAAAAGGCATTTTATTCTATATCGCGTAAATCATTATTAGTGCAATATGTATTGATATATGTCCTTAGAATGGTAGAACCATGACGAGGGTATCAAGTGTTTCAAATCTTGATAGTGAGAACCCTATGAGCACATATGGTGGCCATTCTAGAAACGTCCGTAGCCCCAGTATTATTCTGAAGTAAGGGCACAGATAATACGGTAAGGCTATCATAGTGTTGAATGACCCTGTCGAAAGGCAATGACTGATCTCACTTGTCAAGGTTGTTTGGTGACAACCTGGTACAACACATGGGTGCTTGCTGTAGTCGAATACACCGCAACAAGTTCACTGGACTGACCCACCAGAGGATTCCATACGGATGGTAACCCCAATGTCTATGGAACAAATCCTCTAACGAATGGTGGTGCATGTGATCCTTAGACTTGAGATCATTGGAGTGCCTTGTGCACCGATTGGTACAATTTGACACTAGCCTAACACAGTTCTATTCAGAGCTGTCAATACGGTGGTGATTGGCTACATTAAGGAGTGTATTAACACTATGGTGGATAGACAGAGGATTCATCACTCCCGGGTACGGGAGAAGTTATCTCATGGCGCAATTCAGTATATGGAAATGACACTAAAACTGTGGCCACAGTAGGATTGAGTTGTTGCTCTATCCAGTTTATAATACAGGTTATTGGTCCAGAAACTAAATACATAATATCAAGAGTAACAGAAGGTTGACAATATTTCTATACTCTCATCTCATCGAGATAACGTATGATGAAAGGATCGAATTGTACGGTAACCATATCGTTGACAGGTAGCTACTTTACTGAATCCGAATCTATCAGGTGGCCATGATGCCTTGCTAGGGGCCAATCTTGGTATGTGTATAAGTGAGACGATTAATTGGTGTTAATCGTGATACTATACACTACCGATATGATGAGGAGCCTATAGGTCACACACATAGAAGATAATTTAAGAGCCAGAAAGAAAGAACGGCGTTTTCGTCTTTTTAGGCGAAAGGGTATTTTGGTAATTTCATAGTGCAATTAAATTTGCTGAGGTCGTAGCCTTTATTTAATTTGTTAGAAAAAATTAAATAAGTGAGATTACGTCTAAATATGTGTTCGCATATATTTAAATAAATTATCATTATTGTTAAATGTTAATATATGTTAAATATATATTAATTGATTTTTTAATTGAGATAATGATAAACAATATTAAAATATCTAAATGGGAGTGTTCGGTAACAAGGGGTGTTTGGGTTAGAGCCCAAGCCTATTCCATAAAGGAATAGGGCAATTAAACTTATACTATATAAGTAAAAGTTTAATTGAGAGAAAGATTAAGTCATTCATTATTTCATTTCATTGAAAAAGGAAAAGCTACAACACCCAAAAACACTCTCCCACGCCAGACTTGGTTTTTGATTGAAAATCAAATACATTTCATTTCTTCTTTGTTCTTAAGACTAAAGAGGATCTAGCAAATCTCTCTTTAGTTCCTTGCGATTATTTTCGTGTGGACTACATCGGTTTGATCCTACACTTGGGTCAATAGCAAAATATGTTCAGAGACAAAGTTGGAGGAGCCTCCAAACGTGCGTATGATTTCTTAAACTCTATATTAGTTTTCTGCAGATTCTTGTTTTGACATCAACTGTAAATTTGTGCCCTGATCTTGGTTCTGTGGAACGATCCGTGTTGTTATTAATTTTTGTTTTCCACTGCCTCAATGGATCGTTTCCTAACATAAACATATTAAAGTTAGTAAGTTAAAGTTTTAATATTACAAAATGAATTAAAACGTAAGCGGAAATGGTTGCTATGTTGATTTTAAGAGTTCTTTAAACAAAAACATAAAGCAATAAAAATAAACCAAAGTAAAAGCACACAAGATTTTTAAATGGTTCGACAAAATGCCTACATCCATGGGACCAAGTCCAGAATGAAGCTAATCACTAGATTTACTTTACAGTTCAATTACAAAGTCAGAGATTAAGCCTCAATTGCCAAAACACCCCTGTTTTGCAATGCTTCAATCTCTACCCTTTAGTTACAATAACACCCAACCAACTCAATCAGCCTTGAGCTTCCGTCAAGGTACAAAAATGAAGATGCACTTTGGTGGAAGAAGCTCAACACGCTTCACACATCAGCTCCAAACTACACATAGAAAGCAAGGACGCATTCTAGGTACTTTGAAGGAATGTATTTTAAAGCTTTACCTAAGCATAGAAACCTGACAAAGACAAAGTAAAAATTCAGAGAATTTTCAGTGTACTTTTCAGAGAGATATCAGGGTTAAGAAAAATTGCATTGGAGAAGAGTTTATATAAGTAAATAGCTGGCCAATGCAAGAACAGGTGGCAAGGAATAACTTTATTGAATTCACCTTTATAAAAGTTTATTCCAATATCAAACTGCCACTTATCAAAGAGAATAAAACTTTCCAACACATTGAATATGAATTTGACAAGTGTTATGGACTATACAAATATCTCATAAGCGAATAAAACAACTCATGCATTTTAAAAGCATAACACGTGTTACCCAAAAGAGTCTGCCGGATACATTGTGATCACTCTGACTCAGAGGTGCTCACCCGATGTAGTAGATAACCAACATAAGAGAAGGTGGTCACTTTTAACACGAGGTGGTCATATGGGAAATTAAACAAAACAATTGTGCTAGGAGAAGGTAAGGTGTTCATACCAGGATTGAGAGTTACCACTCTAGATTCATAAGTTGACAAATAACTTATAGTAAATAACTCCTTGTCACCACTCTGAGTATCAATCTGAGAAGAAGAGGCAGTTTTAGAAGGTTAAGTTTGCCTATAGCCTTGTTAGATTGGTATTCACAAAATTTATCTAAACAAATTTCCCAAATCCCCAATAATTTCATTTTGACATCATCTCCGTAGATCCGAGGATATAAATAATCTAACAATTTCATTTTGTATCTAGGATCTAAAACAATTTCTATTCTTATGACACCGTGAATCAGATCCCAGTACTTGGAAAATTTGCCATCCATTTGTGTTGCCATATTCCTTATCAAATCATTCCCACATCTGACCCAGCTAGACAATGGAAGTTTAATTTGACAAATTTTTGGGAAATAAACATTGGACGTTGGATATTGTGTTCAGGAGAACAATAATGTTGCATCATAAAATACTTTTAATTTTGAACTAACTTGTTCTGCCATCTCCTATTCTTCCTCTATTGGCAGACATCTATTGTGGCTCACGAAGCTGTAAGCGAATAAATGCTTCTTTGTAAATGAAAGCAATCAGAAACATCAAATAAGTTGAATTTCATTGAGTCTTTCAGTCTAGAGCCAACTTCTTTGTACTTTCAATGCCTTCTTGATGTGCCGCTTCATCAAATCTTTGCACTCTTTTGAGCGATGTTGTCTAATAAACAACACTCTCACGAATTCTTGCAATTGCTTGTCCAATCATCGATAAGCCATCTTGAACAATTAGATTCAGAATATACATACAACAATGCATATGAAACAATGTACCACATAGCATAAGCGAGGCACGTGGAATAATCTTCAACAAATCTTCAACAACTGCATCATTAGTAGAGCAATTATCAATCAACATCAAGACTTTTTATCAATGTTCCACTCATAAAAGCAGTCCATCAACACCGCAATAAAGACATATCTAGTATATGGGCAAGGCACATATACAAACCTGTGACATTAATTATACATAATTGATATATTAATATAGGTAAAAAAAAAATGTATCCAAAAAAAAGAAAAATAAAACCTAAAAAGAGAATACCTTATGAGTCGATCAGCAACGGATGTAGAAATTTTTATTAGGGTGGGCCAAAATTAAAAACTAATTGTACATAACATTCATATTCTGTTTTTTCTAGTCAAAATTGTCACAAAAAGAAAAACAAAACTACATTTATACTATTGTCTTTGGCGGGGCTTCATATTGAGGAACCGTTGCATGACCATCTCCTTATCAATACTATCAAATATATCTTTCTCAACCTATGGAATTGGGCTATCATTCAAGAATTGATCTCTCATTTGATTGCGTAAATGAGTCTTCCCAATTTTCATAGCAGAAAATGCCCTTTCTACACTTGTAGTTGCAACCAGTAAAGTTAAAGCCAATGTGATGAGCAAATATACCAATGAGTAAATAAGATGCTTCTTCTTTTCAACCATTTTCTAAGCAAGACTAGTAATATTGTTTAGTCTGAAAAATCACTATCTGAGCACATATCATCAATGTAATTATCAAGTTGAAGTTCAAGTGCCATAAGATCAATAGAAGAAATTCAACTGGATAAAATTGAGCAAAATGAACCAATTTCTTATCAAATGCTTTAAAGCAATCACTTAGATTTAGGGAGGCCATGCAAATAAGTAATTATGTGTTACCTTCATTAAAATAAATGTTAAGCTCTGATAGTTGTAAATCTATTATGGCATAGAACAACTCGACACGATAATGAAATAAATTTGTCATCCCTTGAACATTACGCCTCGATCTCCCTCGTGTAACAAATTTCTCTTCCATATTTGGCACATTTATATTATGAGCAATGCAAAAATGAGAAACTTCATCAAGTAGATTATCCCATCCACTATTTCTTATCAACAATAATCTTTTTTTGGACAAGTGAATCAAAGATAGAGCATTTTTAATATCTTGATCCTTTCTTTGCAATGCTTGTGAAAGCTCAAATGTGATTCCCAAAATGTTTTTCATCATGTGCAGGTTAAAAGCAAAATCAGACGAAGTCATATAATCCTCCAAATCACCTGCTTCAACTCTATTATCAGAATTTTTAGTAAGATCCTCAAGCACTTCAATAACAAATGAAAACAAATTAATCAGGCTCAATAAAGTCCCATTTACCCTGGCTGCTTAAGACTAGTATCTTGATTAAGGCCTTGCCCTATTGAAAGCTCACCACTTTCAATAGCTTTTTTCACCTTCAAAGCTTGTTTCTTAATAAGAAGATCCTGACATCTAGGTGACCATCCAACAATATTTATCATATAAGAAACTTTCAAAAATAGTTTCTCAATATTTGTATCCTTTTTTGCCACAACTAAAAGTGCTAGTTGAAGTTGCTGAGCAAAACAATGAACATAGAAGGCATATTCATTATTTTTCAATATAAGTGCTTTTAACCCATTAAACTGACCTCGCATATAACTCGCACCATCATAACCTTGTCCACGTAATCTTGATATGCTCAAATTGTATTTAGAGAACAATGTTTCGATTCCCATCTTTAGTGATAAAGCAGTCATATTTGTGACATGCATAATGTTCAATAGATGCTCAACAACACATCCTCTTTTATTTACATAACGTAAGATAATTGCCATCTGCTCTTAGTTGGATCCATCACGAGCTTCATAGACTAATATAGAAAAAAAAATCTCCAAGATCACTGATTAATTTGTTGATGGTTTCAACTACAAATGCATTGATTATGTCTTTTTGGATACTAGGAGCAATCAATTTATCGTGTCCACGAGCATTCTCCAATGCTACTAATCTATATTCTTCATTTTGCTCGGCTGTATAGTGTAGAAGTTTAAGAAAGTTTCCCCAATTCATTGAATTATCAAACTCATCATAGCCACGAAAAGGCAATCCTTACCGAAGAAGAAGCCAACTAGCAGAAATCGATCCTTTCAACTGAATACGATAATCTTCTCGCTGTTGGTCAGATTTCTTATTAATAATTGTACTCACATGCTGCTTTGGTTCATCAAAGCTTGAAAATTTTTCAAAGCTTGGTTATGATAGCTATTAGGACCTCCAATATGATATTAAAAATTTTCAAGTCTCTTCCAATTTTGAAACCCATCAAGAACAAAAGAATCATTACCACTTTGCTCACCTTTATCTGGTTTGAAAAGATAACAACATAAACAATATGGAGCATCATTCTCAACATGATATTCCAACCAGTAAGGATATTTGTCAAACCAAAAACTTTGGAAACTCCGTACATGATCACCAGATTTTGATTTGGGAAACTTATGGTTGCGAGGTTGACAAGGACCATATTGTAAATAACACATTCTGGCTTGGTCTCAAACATTAGGATGATAAAATGTAATTCTTGGTCAAAATCCAAGATCAAAAGGAAGATTTTCCAAGTCAACTTCGAAGCAATTTGTCTTTAAAGAAGGTTGGTTTTCATTATCATTGACACCAAAAGAAAGTTGAGCTGTCTCATTAATTGACTTTCTTTTAAAATATTTTTCCATATCTAAATACAAAGAAATAAAATTATATAAATACAAAGAAATAAATTAACTCACGAATTGAATTCTATAAAAACTATGGAAATTCTAAATTTTCCAACTATTCTTTATCTTTTCCATAGAATTCATCTAAATAATTATTGGTCTTAAATAATCAATCATAATTATGTCACTTCTTACTGATTTTTCATTAGGGAAAAATGAAATTGAGTAGGATTTATATATTTAAAAGTTAATGGAGCAATTAAGAAAGAAGTATTATAATCTAAGATATAATATTAGACTATTAGTGCAAGACAGCATATTGTTGTCTCCTGATTGTGAGGTTTGTGCATCGAGAGGGTTTTCTAAGAAATTGAAAGACAAAAATAAACTTCAATTACTGTATTTGATTGTGTGAAATATTGAATAATTACAACTGAAGCTACAACGACTTAAGTAAATTCAGTAGCAAAAACAGAGTGAAGAGAAAATGAATACAGAAGCTTAAGTAGTGCAAAGTTAAGCAACTTCAAAACGACATCGCTTTACTAAATTTTAAGTAGACCCTTATCTTCTGAATTCTGACACTTTGATCCACATGCCCACTCAAACTGCACTTACTCCTACAGTTTGGAATTCTTATCTGAACATACTCCTTACAGTTGGAATTTTCAAAAGACATTCCTCCTCAGTTTGAGTCTTGTATTTGAAGACTAAATCATTTACTCCACTTAAACAAATCTTCTATGTTGGAATTCACAAACTGAAGCTGACCATTCCAAGTTGAACTACTAATCTCCAAAAATTACTTAGGCCATATTGTCACTTGATCCCATATTCTCATTTATCTTTTCTGAGAACAGATAAATTCTGCTACAAATAAAAAGAAGGCAACCAAAGAAACCTAGAAACCACAAATTAGACAAATTCACAAGGATATTACTACTGAACTAAAACAGATAGAGCTGCTGAACCAGAACTGAAATATAGCTTTGAAGAGACAACCAATTCAATTTTAGCTAATACCAGCTTCTCAGAGATACCAATTAGTTATGCCAAAAAAAAAAAATCTTCTGTAGTATGTCAGTCGAAGCAGTATGAAAGAAAAGAATGATCTTTAGCATTTGTACACATTGTACATAGAAGTCATGCTTTTAACCATAACTAATGAGATGATCAAGTTACAAACATTTACAAGTAGAATCACAATTACCATAGTATAACAGCATGCAGTGAGCACCATATCAAAACACCTTTGACCATAGTATAATAGCATATAGATATCATCACACCAAAACACCATTTAACTGGAACAGGGTAGGTTAACAACATTGAGTTTCTCCTTCAATTCGAGAAACTGAGCAATGGAAAGGGCGTTGGTTAAGATATCTACAATTTTCAATTTGGTAGGTACATATTGGACAAGGAGCTGCTTAGATAAGACTTGATCTCTTATATAATGAGCATCAATCTCAATGTGCTTAGTCTTGGCATGGAACATAGGATTAGAAGCCAAAGCTCCTGCACCAAGATTGTCACACCATATGACAGGTGCTTGAGGAAAGTGTAAGCCTGATTTTGAGTAAATACTCTTTAACCAGGCAACTTCAGTTGCTGTATTAACTAAAGCCCTATAGTCAGCTTTGATGACAAAGCAATAACCTTTTGCTTCCTAGAGCTCCATTGAATCAAATTTGGACCCAAGAAAATGCAGAATCCACTAGTTGATCTCCTATCATCAAGGTTACTTCCCCAATCTACATCAGCATAGTATTAAATACACATTGATGCTGTTAGTCGAAATTGAATGCCATGATTTTGAGTTCCTTTAAGATACTAAGGACTCTTTTGTAGGCTTACCATTGAATTTTTGTGGGAGCTTGCAAATATTGGCTGAGTTTGTTAACAACAAAACTTATATCAAGCCTAGTGAGTGTAAGGTATTATAATGCACCAATTGTGCTTCTATACAAGGTAGGATCTTGAAAACACTCACTGTCTCTAGAGAACAACTTAGTACCAACTGCTAGAGGTGTTGGACAAGGGTGTGCATCTGCCATTCTTGTTTTAACAAGTAAATCAAGAATATATTTTTTTTGCTTGAGATGTGTACCTTGAGCAGTTCGAGAGGCCTCTATTCCAAGGAAATGGTGGACTGGTCCTAAAACTTTAAGGGAGAATTGAGCATCAAGTTTTGGGACCAATGTGTGAATAAATGCCTTATTACCTCCAGTAATCAGAATATCATCTACATAGATGAGAAGATAAGTCATTTGAGCACCGTCTTGAAAAATAAACAAGCTGGAATCTGCCATTGAATTCCTGGACCCTTTATCGATCAAAGCTTGCTTTAATTTTTCAAACTAGGCCTTGGGTGCCTATTTGAGCCATATAAAGCTTTTTCCAATTTGCATACATATCCAGGAAACTCAAGATGCTCAAAACCTTCTGGTTGCTTCATAAACACAGTCTCATTGAGAGTACCATTCAGAAAAGCATTGTTTATGTCAATTTGTTGAATGTCCCACCCATTGGTTATGGCCAAGGTGAGGATTATTTGAATGGTGGATGGTTCAATCACTAGGCTGAAGGTCTCAAAACAGTCAAGACTTGGAGTTTGCTGAAAGCCCTTTGCAACTAGCCTAGCTTTGTACTGTTGTAGAGAGCCATCTGGATTGTACTTAATTCTAAAAACCCATTTGTTTCCTACTATGTTCATATTATCAGTAGGAGGCATAAGAGACCAGGTTTTGTTCTTAAGTAGAGCAGTGAACTCACTTTGCATTGCTGCTTGCCATTCAGCAGTGTTTAATGCTTCTTTTAAATAACCTGGTTCAGGAACAACAGGAGAGATGCTTGGAGAGTGAGCTTGAAGTGAGAATAGTCTTAGGTTGAGTAAGACATCTGGACTTAGCTTTAGTCACCATTGGATTAATGTTTTGATTAACTTATGGAACATTAAGTGTAGTAGAAGTCTGTGATGGACCAGTAGCAACTTTAGGAGGACAATGTGAATTAGATTAGGAAATAGTAGAAGGATGGGAAGGTAATATTGAGTGAGATGTAAGATTTACTACTATAGGACAAGTGGAAGGAGAACATGATATAAAGGAGTCTGTTTTCTATAATGGAGTTGATGAAAAAGAGTTATCAGCAAGAGAAGTAAAATCCACTATTAGAGGACAAGTGGAAGGAGAATCAAATGTTAAAGATTCTATTTTTTGTAAGGAGGCTAGTGAAGAAGAGTTATTAGTGTGTTGAGGCTGTTTTCTATTTTTTGAGGATGCAGAATGTGAAATCAGATTACACTGACTGATTGTTAAGCATAGACTAGTATGATCACAAGATACTATAGTAGGTGTTTTTCCACCGGTAAGAGTTGTATCAATAGAACTGGATGCTTTGACAAACACAAAGGGAAAACTAATAACATAGTTGGTAGGCTTAGAAGGTTCTGAATTTGTGAGTAGAAGTAGAGACACTAAATTGATGAGCAAAAGGGACTTCTAACTCATTGAATTTAACATTGGGAGTTATGTAAACTTTGCCAGTTAGACTTAAACATTTAAACCCTTTTTGAACTAAACTATAACCTATAAAAACACATTTTTCATAATGAAAACTAAACTTATGCTGATGATAATCTCTTAGATAGGGATAACAGGTGCAACCAAACACTTTTAAGGTTGAATAGAGTGGGAAGTTGTGAAACAAAACTTGATAAGGGGAAACAAAATTAATAACAGAAGAGGGCTTCCTGTTAATTAAGAAGATTGTTGTATCAAAAGCATTCCACCAAAATTGTAAAGGCATAGAAGCATGTGCAAGTAAAGTCAAACCAGTTTCAACTACATGTCTATGTTTTCTTTCACTCCTACTATTTTGTTGGTGAACATAGGCACAAGAGTGCCTAAACTGAATTCCAACATTAGTAGGATAGGAAATTAGACCCTTGTATTCAGCCTCTTATCCGATTGTAAACACTGAAGTTTTAAGCTAAATTGTCTTTCCACTAAGTGATGAAACCTAATGAAAACAAACCTAACTTC